AGGGTGGGGGATGGGGCAGCAGGGGCTCTAAGGGCGGGAGAGGGGGACTCTGGGGGCGGGGTGCTCGCAGGGAGGGAGCTCTGGGGGCTTCTCAGGACAGGGCCACGACAGCTGCCTTGACTTGAGCTTTTTCTCACTAAATGCTTCCCCTCCCGGTGAGACCGCTTCGGCCCAGATCCTCCAAAAGTACTTAGGTGGTTTACTCCCATTGACATCAATGAGAGTTAGGGGACTAAATACTTGTAAGGGTCTGGGCCTTCCTGCCTACAGCACTTTCTCTCCCAGTGCATCTCTGATGCCTTATAAACGCTAGTGATTCAGCTTTCACAACACTCCTGTATCATTATCCCCGATGAGCTACAGTCACGGAAAATGATTGTCCCCTGTGTTCACTCAACAAGGTAGCACCCAGGAATCCTGACTCTCAGTCTAATGCTCCAACCACTAGACCATGCAACTGAGAATTGATATTTTTATTGTGCGTGAATGTGCAGGGAAGATCTGGCTGTTAACTCCCATGTTGAACTGTGCGTTTGTTTGTTTGTTTTATCTTATAGGTATGTGGCGATCACAGTAAAAAATAGAGAGGGAAGTATCTCCGGAGTTTTGGAGAGACCCTTCAGCCAAGCATAACATTACACAAAAGGTAGGTGGGGGGGGGATAGCTCAGTGGTTTGAGCATTGGCCTGCTAAACCCAGGGTTGTGAGTTCAATCCTTGAGGGGGTCACTTAGGGATCTGGGGCAAAATCAGTACTTTGACACTGCTAGTGAAGGCAAGGGGCTGGACTCAATGACCTTTTGAGGTCCCTTCCAGTTCTATGAGATAGGTATATCTCCATGTATTATATTATAATTCCTTTAGTGTTAACAACTGTCTTTAGCAAAGTTTATTTGGACAAGGGGAACAGGTGTTTACTGAATTAATAATTTTTAAATTGCCCTAGTTTATTTTTATTTCTGAAGATGTGGTTTTCCTTTCGGGCTCATCAAGGTAATGTGCAACTGCAGAGAAACTCTTCCCTGTTTAGACAGGACCGGTGTGATATTCACACACTCTTATTTGCACAGCAGAACTAATTTTAAAAGTAGTCATTTCATGGAATGCATCTGATGTGAGAAAAAAAACATTTAACTTAGTTAGCCCTCAGTGTATCTTGAAAGTATCATGACATCTTTTTCAAGTTTCAGTTTCTGAATTAATAATCATGGAATATACAGACATAATTTACAATATCTTTATCCCTAAAACTGTGGAATATTTCATGTAGCAGTTTTGTTTTTTTGTTTGGGGCTTTTGTTTGTTTCTGTTTTTTTTGCTGTTCTACATCATTCTATTCATGTTAGATAAAATTGTAAGGGGGTTATAGTGAAGATACCAAAGAAAGGTAAGACAAGAACAGTCATTTGGATATGGATTAGGTTCATATTAACATAATTAGTTTTTCATTTCTAGGTTACGAATTTGGATCCAGCATTTTAATCGGAAGGCTATTTGGGCCATGTAAAATGAATTGGGTGCAGGTCACTTTTCAGAGGACACAAGGGGTCCAAGTCTACACCCCGAAATCACTACCTCAGTTGCTGTCTTCAAGATTGGGTGTAGAGGCTGACATACATTTACACACCTACTTGTAGGTTTTGGTACAAGGGGGAGGAAGGGGAATGTGGGGAAATTTGAACTGCTGCTGTCTGTGCCTTACCTCTTCTGAGGATTAAAAGAGATTGGGTTGGGACCAGGTTTGTCATTTTGGCACTAATCAGAAAACACTTCATTTTTTTTTATCAAGTAACATTGCAGTTTTCTTTCCAGGCACTGGATGATCATAGCTAAACAATGTCTGGACTACGTGGAGCTGTCCATGCAAAATGGATAATAGGGAAAGTAATTGGAACCAAAATGCACAAAACTGCCAAAGTGAGAGTGACAAGGCTTGTGCTGGATCCTTATTTACTCAAGGTAAGGTCTGGTCACCAACTTACTTTGCAAGATCATTTTCATATTCACTATCAAAGAAAATTGTATTGACTTTCTGAAATACTAGGATTTCATGTAAACTGTTTACACTGTTAACTAATTAAGAACATTGGGTGGTAATTTGGCTCTGAATATGACTGCGTAGAAAGGAAAACCAGTGTAAAAACATAAAATTTGCCGTATCAGATTATCTATTAAGTGCATTTCCTTGAATGATTCTGTTAACACACATTTTGATCTGAGCTGGGAAAGTGGACTACTAATTTCGTGCTTTGATTTTTGAAAAGTCCTTTTAAAATTTTTTTATAAGTTTCTGGGTTTTTGCTCCATTTTGAAAGCTTGAAGTTATAAAATAAAATGTTTTTGTATATGGTGATATTAAAATAATTGCCTACTATATCTTTTTCCTAACCACTTTGTTGAATAAGTAATTGCAGAAATATTCTTTAGCATTTGAACCACTGAATCAATATAGATCTATCAATAATAAAATAATCGGACTATTTATAAGGCAAGCCTCCCTCAGTTATTATTAAAGACTAGATTCAAGAGAAACTATGCTCCCTTTAGTCAATTCTGCACTTTATAAGATAAAAGAAGGTAGGTTAGATTTGTAATTGAC